TGCAGCGCCAGTTCGATCCCCGGCTGCCTGGTTAGGGTCCCACATGGCGTGCAGACCTCTCTTGCCGCCCGCTGCTCCCCTCAGCAGTGTATTTCGTCGGCCTGCCTGTTCTGTTCCCCACTCTGGCTCTGGTGAATTCTCTCACCCTCCTGCGCTTCTGACTGTACCCAGTGCTTGTACAAATAAATAAATAAATCTTAAAAAAAAAAAGGACTGGCTTAAAAAAAAAAAAAACCTAGCTTTTATTTTTACATGTGTCCACTACATTATAATTAGGTAATAACTAATCAATTATCCAAATGAAAGTGAGGGGTAAATAATAATTAGCTAGGAAATTACATGCTCAGATAAAATTTGGTGTTTGTATTCCTAAGAGGATGATAAGAATAAATAATTGGTGTGTGGGGTAGGAGATTTTTATTTCAATCTTTATACTGTTCAATTCTAGAACTTTTACTTGATCCTTTTCATTTCTTCTTAAGACTTCATAATCTCTAGCTCATATTTTCAAACTTCCTATTTCTCTGAACATATTAAACATTTTGTATCAGGTATCTGATCATTCAAATAACTCGCTGCTTATTGTCTCTACCGATTGTCACTTATAGTATCTTGTTTAAGTGTTTGTGATTTTTGGCTGTGAGTTATTAATTTTCCTTTCCCTACTTGTAATTCTTTGAGGCCTGAGTTGAAGTTCCTCCAAAGATGATTTTGATTTGCTTCTGCCTGGGGACACTACTGACATAGGTTCAGTGAAGTTCTCTGAAGTTTTGGGAACACAGCAGCAGAATGAATTCAGACTGTAGAGCTACATGGAAGTTGACTTGAAGGTTATCAATTCTTGGAGTTTAAAAAAAAACTTTTGCTCCACCTAGAGCCATGATAAGGGCAAATCTGTTTCAATGCCATCTCCAAGAGATTGGCAGATTCACTTTCTTTCGTTATACTTTGTATCTCAAATCTCTAGTATTTATGAGATAAAGTTCCCCACCAGCATAATATACTTCCTCTGTGATTGTGACTTTTCCTGCATTTTCAGACTCCACTCTCCACCTGACCCTCTCAGGCTGCTCACTGGCTCTGCGACAGTGTGAGCCTATTGCCTCAGCTTGACAATGAAGTATCCATGTGTTGAGGATTAGATAAAACTATACATCTAAACATATGGCAGTTTTGTCTTTATCTTGCAATTCCTGGGGAGCAGTTGAATAATTTTAAACAAAATGATGTAAGTGGGTTCATCCTTTAGAAAGACTAAGGGAATAGGTTGAAGGGGAACAAAACAATGGGTGAGGAAGATTAGTGAGAAGGCAGAAATACAAAAGGGAAAATGAGTGCATAAAGGCAATAGGACTGGAGAGGAAAAAAAAACTAAGGATATAATCAAAAGGATTGGTTCCTAGTTGGAAGCAGCGGTGAAGAGAAAGGAAGGATTAAGAAAGGAAAATCCAATGCTTCAAGAACAAAAACTGATCCTAAGAAGTTCTTATACTTTTTCTGCCCTCAATAGAAGGAATTCTCTGAAAATACATTTATCTTCTAGAAGCTGGCAAAAATGGGTTGAGATCCAGTCTTATGAACAAAAAAAAATTAAGTTATGAAATACCATCTGGATCACAAGTGAGCAGGGATAATGATGTAATGTCACTTTTAATCATATACTAATGCCATTTTCTTGAGGATGAAAATAATTTCAGTGCATGGAGTGGAATATACAGGCTATGAAGCAGGCAGGTATCATGTACACGTAACAAACCTTTACTTAAAAAAAATCTAGTTTTTTTTTAAAGATTTATTTATTTATGCATACAAGAATTGGGGCTAGAGGTGTGGGAGGTGAGAGGATTCACCAGAGTGGGGGACAGAACAGGTGCATCTACTGAGATACACTGCTGAGGGGAGCAGCTGGCAAGACAGGAGAGGTCTGCTGTGCCATGTGGGTAGCTCTCTGCCGGAGATCGAACTCCTGCTGCAGTGGCCGCAGATTGCTTCATAGTGCTGAGACTTAACTCCTTGTACCACCAAGGAGGCCCCGAAACTGATGTTCTAGCTACTAATCATCAATCTCCAACTTCAATTAAATTCCTTTTTCACTATAAAAAGCGCCCACTTACGGCTTTGCTGGTTGGTTCTAAGGGTAACCACATTTTACACAACTGCCACTGTGTGGGCCTCTAAGCCTGACTGACCCCTAATACATGTCCTTCAGCTCATTTTCATGACAACAGATCAAGCCTTGGTAAGGCTGATGAAGGAAGTATCCCCAACTATATAGTTCACTCTTAATACTTCTCAACTCCACACTTCTTTGACTGCATTTTTACTAACATGTCTTTTTTTTTTTTTTAAGATTTATACAAGGACTGGGATACAGAGGCACGGGAGGGAGAGAGAATTCACCAGAGACAGAACAGGGAGCAGAACAGGCACTCTGACCGAAGACACTGCTGAGGGGAGCAGCGTGCGGCGCCATGTAGGAATATCCCTGGTTGGCCGGGAATTGAACCCACACTGCAGAGGCTGCAGACAGCTTCACAGCACAGCACTCAACTGACTGCGCCACCCGGGAGGCCCTTTTACTAACAGGTCTTAAGGTGTTATGGTCTTGGCTTTGAGTCTTACCTCTCCTACCATTTTCTGAGCCCAAACCACTTCCCCAAACCTTTTTGTCTCATATCTAAAAGGGGATACTTTTAAATCCTGCTGATCAGGCAGTTCTCGATTAGTTTAATATTTCATTTCTGGGAGAGTCAAAACTAATTGTCTCAGTTTGGTGACATAGGGCTTAGCATTAATGACTCCATTTTGGGCCTGCTGTATCTTTCTTTTCTTTTCTTTTCTTTTTTTTTTAATTTCTTTATTCACACAAGCACTGGGTACAGTCAGAAGCACAGGCGGGAGGGTGAGAGAATTCACCAGAGCCAGAGCAGGGAACAGAACAGGTAGACGACGAAGTACACTGCTGAGGGGAGCAGCAGCGGGCAGCAGGAGAGGTCTGCGCGCCATGTGGGACCCTCGCCCTGTGGCCGGGGATCGAACTGGCGCTGCAGAGGCTGCGGGCAGCTTCGCAACCCAGCACTCAACCATTGTGCCACCAGGGAGGCCCTGTTGTATCGTTCTTAACACTTATAACAGCTTTATCACCAAGATGTTATAATAGTTTAATGTACGTCAAACACTTTAGGGCAAGGGTGCATTCTGAGGTTTCCTGGAATAATCTGAGTAAAACAAGTAGTAAAATATATGACTGACTTCAACATCTGTTGTTTAATACCAGAATCAATCCAACATTACTGTACACCTATCCTGTTGATGACAGATTTAGGAGCTGTATCTATAGCAAAATCAAAATTAGAAACTTCTCCTTTCATAAAGTTTACACTATGAATGACAAACAATAAACAAACCAACAAGTTGTAAATCCATATAGTGATGACAATACAATGCAATGACATTCTAACTGGGGCAGAGGCAACGTTAAATAGTGTAGTCACAGAAAGCCTCTCTGAAAGGATGACATTTAAACCAGACAAGAATGCTCTGGGCAGAAAGAACAGCAGGTGCAATGGCCCTGAGGTCTTAATAAACTTGCCATGTTGGGGTTAAAAAAGAAATAACAGAAATAACAGTGCTCCATTCAGCTGGAGCACTGTCTCATGAGGAACCAGGAAAATAAACCAGAGATACTGCGCAGTGGCAGGCAGGCAGATTATAAATCTTCCTATATCAATATAGTTACATTACATTAATATACAAAAATAATTATATTAATACAATTTATAAGTGGTACAGACAAGCGTGGTTGCAGTGAAAATGGAGAGACAAAACTGGGATATGCTTTTTTGGAAAAAAAATAAAGGCTATGGTCGAGAGCAAATGAGATTAACAAACAACTCCCACAAGCGTAGAGTGCAGAGGCTACCTGTCTCTCATGATTGTCTTGCAGAATTGGTGCTCAGCTAGGACCCGGTAACTCCATGGGGTATCCTTTCCCCTAGCATCTAGGGCTTCGCTGGAGAGGCTGGGATATCTACAGAGGCACTCAGCCCGAGAGAATGTCTGATCATTACCACGTCTGCATCTGTTATGGTATCTCCTGCATGTCAGATCAGGTTAAAAGCAGGCAGAGGAAAGGAAAGTCTCAATAAGTATCTAAGCAATGAGTGAGGACTTGATCAATGACCAAGAGGTTGTAAGATGCAAGATCAGTGCTGGATCTTCCAAGTTTTCTCCTGGAGTGGATGGAGGGCAAGAAGTACTTCAGAGCAGTAATGACTCCTGATTAAACTTTGTTTTAAAAATCAAATTAAAATACATGAAGGTTTGTACTACATATATTAATACAATTTATAAGTTGCAAGTTTTTCGTTAAAACCCTGTCTTTCATCCTCAGTCTTCATTACCTCTAGTCACACTTTTATGGGAGATTTAGGTGTCAATTTACTAATGATGAAAATTATGTCAACATTCTATATTTCCTTTCAAAGAAATAGTCTACTAAGTTAGTGAAATAAAATTACAAATGACCTACTGTGCGTGTGTGTATACACATATGTACATATATATAGTGTATATAGTTTCTAGGCTTCTGTGGGGTTTTGTTCATTTCTGTTGTCTTTGCCTATCAATAAACTGCCTAGGTTTGACCTCTGGTCTCTGACCGACCTCTTTCTGCTTCTCAGGTAGCAATGAACAATCACAACCTGAATTGACATCTACTGCTCACCTCGCAGCCCCAGTACCTGAGTCAGAAAGCAAGGCTGGCAGCTACAATAGGCCAAAGTAAACTAGATTCCTAGAAGTTGTATCTCCTCACCATAACACAAGTTGAAGAATAGGAACCCCTTCCTTTAAACATTAGGTGTATCACACCTACTCAAACAGAAAGTAAAGCTGATGCATCACAGATTTATCTGTGGTTTGAAGAGTAACAGAGAGATATAACAACCACGAGAAGAAAAAGAGGCCATGAACACTTCAAGAAGGAAATGCTTCCCCAATGTGAAATGCACAGATAATTTAATGGAATTTACTTGGTTTTCCCCTCTTAAGGGTCTGACTTCAGAAAATCAAATTACAAAGTCATCAGCACATCCTAGATTTATTACAACTGACCTGCAGGCAAAAGGATAGAACTATTACATAAACACTTCGATTCCATGTATATATCTTAAATAGAGGAGGAATTCAAACAAGAATACAGGATAAAATATTCCAAAGCTCCAAGAAGCAGTAATGTTACTGAGCTCCATTTTTACAGACAAATAAGGCAATATCCCTGCACATTAGCTTTTTGATATTTTTTATACATTTTTTTTTCCTATGGTACAAGAGAAAAATAACCAGAGCTCACAATGTACAGTTCTTACACTATTTTCACAGTTTGTGAACACTATACACCCTTTTGTTTTAATAAAGATACATTGTAATAAACTCCTTGCCCTTAAGTTTATAGTTTATAATATTCTATGATTAATACACTAAAATTGCCTTTTTATGTGGTATTCCACACAATAGAACGGTCACATTAGCTCCTGGACAGTCAGAATTGCTTTAATCTCCATTTGTTAAATGGCAAAGTGACCCTAAGCTGAGCCAGATGGGAAGTTGACAGCAGAGAAACAAATTCCTCTTGAGTCCCCGGGAGCAATGGAGGATGATGGCTTGGTGTGGTTGAAGGAAGACATGTAGCAATGCTTCCTTTCAGAACACTGGGAAGTCTAAGATTTAGGTTACCATGGGGGAGAAAATAGGAAAATGAGGCAAGTGGACTGAGTGATAAATCACTTTTCAATTCTGAAACTTACAGGGATATAACTTTAAACAGCACCATCCTCCCTTTACTTTCTATTGTTTGTGACTGTCACTCCGGGAGGAGACACAGCAATACCTGCCACCATTTGGTTCTGTAATGGCATCATCTGCATCTCAGACCATGGCTGTTTTACATTCCAGTGTGCTTGAATCGCTCACAGTGCTGCTTAACTGCTCTATGAAGCCTAATGTTCAATGCCAGGAAGGCCAGAGGGACACCAAATGGGAAAGTGAGGAAGCACAGCAAAAGAGAGCAGATTTGAATGGCAGATCTGTTCCGGGTTTTGGGCACTCGGGGGTGGGGAGGTGTAGCATTCCAATTCCAAGAAATGATGGTGACCTGCTAAAGACTCTCGCAGGTGATGAGCTAGAAGACTGGCATATCAGATCCTCATCTGGTCAAAAGTGTCTCTAGAAAAGATGCTTCTTCATCACCTACCACACATTAGCTGGGCCCCATGCTTCTCAGTCTTTTAAACATTAGAGCATATGAGAGATTTGGGGCTAAAAATCCTTGGTAAGGAATATCCCTGGTGATTATAAAGATTTTTGACATTTAAAAAAAGGCAAAAGATTGGATTAAGCAAAAGTCACGTAGTGGCAATAGACCACACAGAAAGGGAAAGAGATTCAGAAACTGAAGACCTGGACCAGTGATGGCAAACAACTGAGATTTGGTCTTTTGCTGCCTACAAGAAATCATCAATCAAGGCACATCGCTACTAGCTACTTCTCCCTGTTAGTGAGTTATGATGGCTAAAATATCAGGCTTGGGACCAAGGGGAAATATATAGCTGCTACAAGTTGTTCCAAATAAGATACTAGAATTAAAAACATCTGTAAACTTGGCCCTCTGTACTTTTTTTCTTCGTTCAGTCCTGGTGGTTTGTGGCAGGTGGAACATCAAGTTGGCAGCACACCGAATTCTTAGAATGAAAATTCTTAGGATCAGCACCTTCTTTGACAAGTGGCAGACTCCTGAGTCTTCCCATGAAGAGTAGAAGGACTGGTAAAGGAGAAAAGAACACATTCTGTCCTGTCTCAATATTTTAATGTTCACCTCTTTGAATGCAACATGATTTTTGGTAAAGATAAAATCATTCTAATTTAACATATTTCAAACAGGAAATTTGGCTGAGCACATCGATCCCCAAACATCGACTGTGACTGTAAAGCAAAAGAATATCAAATCAGTAAATCTATTGCACTTGGTGAAGAAAGTAAATTCCTCCTTTGTCTCCCAGCTCCAGAAGGCAATGTGTCTCATTGGCTGTGCAAGCTCTTCTCACTCAAGCCTGAGTCTCTATGTTCAGACATAGTACATCCATCACCGCATTCTTCCCATACTAAGAAATCTGACAAAACACCATTCCAGTAGCTGCGTCTCCAGGTTTTTGAGTCTAAAAATGAATTTAAGATGTGATCTAATCACAGTCAACAAATTGATCGTACTGACTTCCACATTTCATGAACATGTTCATCACGAAAGAGCAGGATGAGGTCTCTCTGACCAGCACTAACACTGTGTGATCAATCGGGTGTTACGGGGATGCACGTTCTAGGTGACAGGAGTATACAGACATGATGGAAACGAACACCAATCTTATTGCACATGGTGTCTGGGCGAGCAATAAAAACACTGTGATACGGGATGAAAATTCTTTACGTCTTGCTTCCTCTCAGCCCTTTTTCTAGAGTCTGACGTAGCAGCGATATCAATCGACATACATGGGAGAGCTGGGAGTAGCTGGCATTTGATCCAGGATTTTACAAACATAGCATGCGACCTCTACAGTACGTTCTTCATACATCAAAATGAAGGGATGTTTCTGCAAGACAATTGAAACAAGAAAAGGTCAAAATTTGTATGAGCCCATGCTGAACTTTTCCCAATTTAGATGCTAGAACTGAAGGCTCCAACCACATGTGGCTATAAATAATAAAGCATGTGTCCAGAGAGGCAAGCACAGCCTATATTTCATGTAGATATGTTGAGTGGGTGTGGCAAACCTAGATAAACCCCAATACCCCAGTTCCCCCATGCACAACAGAAGGCTCTTACAAAAAGGCCCTGTTTGTGATCCTGATGTCCACTGCAAGAGGCTCAATAGACACATCCTATGAGCTTCTGCCCTGTGCATTCCAAAGCCTACAGCTCCTTTTCTGCTTGCAAACCACCCTTTAGTGTTGCATCTCTCAATACTTTTCTTTCATAGTTTCTCTAAATATGTTGTTTGGATATCTTTAGAGTCAAACTGCAGCTGACTGTAAGTTTGGTCTAATATCTTTGACAGTTTGAAGCTAAGTATGACAAATAAGTGGATCTTTTCTTAAAATGTTCTCAAATTATTAGATCACATTGATTTCGTTACTGCTGGGACCAACACTATATCCAGTAAACTGCTTACAACACCCAACTTCCATGGGGTAGGTGAGAATTTTCAAATAAATGGGAATTGGATATTTGATGTATAAATTTGGGTGAGAGCATTTAATAAAGTCAGAATAGCACAGCGAATTCTTCTAGAAATTACACATACATAGACCATGCAGTGGTCTGTTAAAGTGAATGCTGCAATTCTTTGGGGATAATTTAGTAACACAGCAAGGTCAAAATTTTCCAGGAGACTCTAGTTAGTAAATCAGTAGAAAAATCAGAAATACAAATTTTTTCTTTCCAAATATTGTTTTAAAATACTTTAAGACATAGTGAATAAAGTTAAGCTGTTTGAGAAGTTAAGAGAAGTTAAGAGAAGCCCACTGAATGAGCACACTAAGGGGATTCAGGGATGAGGAAGTGTCTAAAATTTCCACAGTGTCACACTTACCAGAAGTTCTTTATACTTTGGCCTTTTGGATTCATCCTTTGTAAGGCTAAAATAACATCAAAACGACATTATTAAAATGAAAACACATTTATCCAAGTATTTTTCTTTTCACAACTGAAATATTACAAAAATCAAGTAGTTTTCTCCTTCAGATATAAAGTGACCAAGTAGACAACCTACCAAATATGGAAAATTAAGACAAAATACACTCTAAGGATTTACCCTTAGCATATTCAGTGTAGAAGCATAAGCAAAATGTTAGGAACTGTTCTAAAAAATTGTGACATAGCTGCTTGTTAGACTACTACTTAGTTAAATATAATTATGAATAAGTTTAAAAAATGTATGTGCATATACATGCATATATTTCTAAATATATACACATATAAGATACCACATAAGAGACTCCAGTAAGTTCAGGAGATAAACCACATTTGAATTTTATCAATTTATCTTAGATTTAAAAAATGTTTACACCCTGTATCTCAATCTTATGTTCTTTGGCACAAAGATTTATAATAGCACAACTGCACTAAGGACTATAATACTGTATTAAAATTCTCTACCCTGTTGCTCTTTCTCCCTTGAATTCTCCCTTGCCTGATTAATATTGCCAGAACAGTTTTCATTTTGTTCATATTTACCTGATCTATCCTGGGTCACATTTAAATCTCCTCTCTTCTACCCTCAATTAAATTCCTTTTTTCCTATCACATATAAATGAATATTGGCAACATAGTTCATCTGTTCTTAAACTAAATGCTACTTTCTTCTCCTATACTTCCTGTAGTAAATGCTGGGTACTTAGATTCCTCTTCAGGAGTTGAAGGATATTTCTACACTGCTGGGGGTGCTGCCACCAGATAATCCTCGGGTGTCAGCCTGCTAGGGATTACCTCAACCACCTAAGAGAGCACTGTGGCCTCCTGGGACTGCTTGCATCTAATGATTGACCTTGTGGCCAGAAGAAAGCACCTGTAGGACTTTGATTCTATAAGACATAATGTCCCAGGGGCCTCCCTGGTGGCGCAAGAGGTTAAGTCTCAGCACTATGAAGCTATCCATAGCCCCTGAAGCACGAGTTTGATCACTGGCCAGGGAGGTGACCCACATGGCACAGCAGACCCCTCCTGTCTCACCTGTTGCTCCCCTCAGTAGTGTATTTCAGTAGATCTTCCTGTTCTGCTCCCCACTCTGTCTCTGGTGAATCCTCTCACGTCCCGCCCCCGCACCTCTGGCCTATACCCCAGCTCTTGTATGCACAAATAAATCTTAAAAAGAAAAAGTAATTTCCCAGCTGCCAATGTCTCTTATAGAGCTAGATACACAGAAAGCCCATGGCTTCAGGTTTCCATAACATTTTATATGTAGACCTGATGCATTTTTCATCCATATAGACATTTACTTTTGTTGTAAAACTGCCACATCATTTTATTTTTCTAGCTTCCAATGAGCAGAAAATTGTATGATCATACAAACTCACGATGCCATGTAAGTAGAAATCTTTAAATTATTACTAACTTCCATCCCAGAATTACTGCTGTCATCACTGCTGGCAGCTTCGCAACCCAGTGCTCAACCACTGCACCACCGGGGAGGCCCAAACTCTTCAATTCTTATCTGCGATGTAATCCAGCAATTGGATGTTTTCATTTTAAAAGTTCTATTGGGTTCTCTACAGAACAGAAACAAGGAATTTCTCTTCCTTGTTTATATTTCCAAGCTTTTTACATTGGTGATTGTTTTCCTATTTCTGATCACTCTGGTATCAGCAGTTTTCATAGATACATTTCTGCCATCAGTTATTTCTATTAATTTCATTCTTTGCACAATTTTTTTTTTCCGGAATAACTTATTCCATTGAACTTTGTATGAAAATTCTTGGATTCCTAGGTTGAAGAATTTGCTTTTTCCCTCTCATCAACTAGGGAGGTCTTAAAATCCTTATCCTTACAACCCTATGGACTCCTTAGTTTTCTACTAACTCTGATATATATTTTTAAACCACTATAAAAAGTTTATCCAGTATTTTAGTAGTTTCATTGTAAGTATTTTCCTAAGATATCTAATCTACTGTCATAATCTGAAGTGGTAACAGTCATCATTCTATAGCTGTTTCTCTATACTTCAGGTACTGCTCTGATTTTATGTCTTTCTACATGAGTGTGTACATTTGCATATATGTGTTTTAACTGAAAGTCTAGCAATTTTTATGTTTCAAATGCATGAAACAAAAACAATCTTACAACATGCCTACCATGACTTTTTCTTTTTTCCTTTTAGTTAATTTGGTCTGGAATTTTAATCTAAGGAATTAAAATTTCTTTCAAATAAGGAGAATTTTATTTTAATTCTTCCTCTGTTTATTCTCAATAAATGAAATCTGGATTTTCTCCCCCATGTCACATATCATTTGCCTCAAGCTCATCTGTTTATCCCTTTCTTCTGGAAAATTAACTTAAGGGTGTTGTCTAGTTCACAGATTTGATTAATCTGCAGAATAATATGCAATATGCTGGCTGTCTACCACCATTTTTCACCCATAGAAATCATGCTTCTTATTTGAAAATAACTTTTCCTGAATTCAAATTTTTCCCTGATTTTTTCAGCGTGAGCTTCACAGGGGAATACTTGTGTCTTAGACTGGTACAATTCTCTGAACCACTGAGTGCTTTCATTTGGTGGTGATTTTTTTTTTTTTTAATTTTTTCATCCTTAAAAGGACCTCAGTTTATCACAAGTTAATCTTAGTCATAGATCTTCAAATAGTGGCGAGCATTCCCCAGAGCATCATCATTTTGTCAAGGAATTTTATCCTGGGTTTGCTATAACAGCTTGCACTGTGTACCCATCCTCTAGTCAACACAATGCCTGGGCTTGAAGTTATGTCAGGTCCTTCCTGCCCAGTGTAAGGTAGAAATGAATGCTGCCGTAGTAGAGTCCCCGGCGTGTGTAGTTTCTAGTACATAAATTATTTCCTCAAGCATTTTTAGGATCAAGATTTGCTTCCTGGTTTCCTGTCCCACAAGTTGTTTTCTTTTAGGTAAAGGGGTTTCTAGGCAGGTTTTATTTTTCTTCCTTGGGGCTTCCTCCACTCCCTTCTTGAATTCAGTTTCATCTACATACTTTCACAAAAAATCCTCAATAACTTTACCTTTTGCTCTTTTCCATGACTATTAGAGATTTCATTCTTTAAAAAAAATTCCATTGATGATTTCATTAAGAAGTTAAAGCAGGGAGGAATTTAAAGTGTGAGCTGAGATCATCACTTTGATTGTTAAACCTCCATCTCTCTTTCCTTAAGCAAACATTTAGTTGAAGAAAAGAACATAAGTTTAAGTGCAGAACTAAAATAAGAGTAACAATATTCTGACTTCTATTACTCTATATTAATTATTTTTTATATTTTTTATACAAGCACTGGGTACAGTCAGAAGCGCCGGAGGGTGAGAGAATTCACCAGAGCCAGAGCGGGGAAAAGAACAGGCAGACTGATGAAGAATACTGCTGAGGGAAGCAGCGGGCATGGCGGGAGAGGTCTGCGCCCCATATGGGACCCTCGCCGGCAGCCAGGGATCGAACCAGTGCTGCAGAAGCTGCAGGCAGCTTCTCAGCCCAGCACTCAACAGCTGCGCCACCAGGGGAGGCCCTACTCTATATTAATTCTATCTTCTTTTAAATTTTATATAAATGTAACTATACATATTTTATGTCTTCCTTCATACAACATAATTTGTGAAATTATCCATGTTGTTTAGTATATCGATAGTTAAATTTTCTTGGATGCTATATACCACTCTATAAATTTATTATCCACCCTACTGTCAATAGACTATAGGTAATTATGTATAAGCTGCTCAAAACATTTTCAAACATGTCTTTTAATATATTTATGCCTGAACTTCTGTTGGGACTTGAATTACTGGGTTATAAGATATATGTGTCAGCTGTATCATCACAGTTACATAAGATGTGCCGAACAGTTTTTCAAAGAGATCGCACCAATTGCTATACCTAGATGTAATATGTGAGGCTTCCAGTTGTTTCAGGTCCTCATGGTATTCTCAGTCTTTTATGTTACTATCATCTGGGGCAACAGCATTTCATTGTAATTTTGACGTGCATTTCCATAATGACTAGGAATGCTCAATGAGCACCTTTTCATATCATCTTTTTTTTTTTAAAGAATACAGGCCAGAGGCCCGGGAGGGTGAGAGGATTCACCAGAGACAGAGCAGGGAGCAGAACAGGCAGAAGGACCGAAAGTACTGCTGAGGGGAGCAGCGGGCGCAGTCTGCCCCGCTGAGGGGAGCAGCAGGAGAGGTCTGCTGCACCATGTGGGAATCTCCCTGGCTGGCCGGGAATCAAACCCGCGCTGCGGAGGCTGTGGACAGCTTCACAGCGCTGTGCTCAACCTGCTGTGCCACCAGGGAGGCCCTTTATATCATCTTTTTAAGTGCCTTTTCAAGTATTTTGCCATTTTTGGTTGTCATTTTTGTATTTATAAGTGGTTTCTGTTTTTTTCCCAAAGATTTATTTATTTATGCATACAAGAACTGGGGTACAGGCCAGATGTGGGGGAGGGTGTGTGAGAGGATGCACCAGAGACAGAGTGGGGAACAGAACAGGCAGAATGACCAAAATACACTGCTGAGGGGAGCAGCGGGCGAGTCAGGAGAGGTCTGCTGCACCATACGGGTAGTTCCCTGGCCAGGGATTGAACTCGTGCTGCAGTGGCTGTGGATTGCCTCATAGGTTGTGTCTTAAACCCTTGTGCCACCAGGGAGGCCCCTTTTTCACATATTCTGGATAAAAGCCCTATATAAAATATCTGTATGGCAAACACATTGTGCGGCTTGGCATTTCACTCAATGGTGTCAATGGAATCCAATTTTAGTTTTTTTCTGTATTCTGTAAGACATCTTTATGCAAAGGTCATGAGCATATTCTTTCATGGTATTTTTTTATACGCTTTTAATTTAAGCAACTGAAGACATTCCGTTTAGCAGAAAAACAGTTCAAGAGTAGTAATAGGAATTTGTGGCTAAAGGAATAAGCCATGTCCAGATCACAGGGGTTTTGAAAGTCTTTTGAGTTTAGATTTCATTTTAAGGGGCAAAAGGAAACCTTGAGTTTCCAGTACTTCTCAATATTTTCTTCATTATATAAATACCACCTGTCTATTATACTCACTATATAAATACCACATCTATTATATTCCGTAATAGTCCTTTGGAGGGCTATAAACCATTTTAGTACCCACAACAAATATTCTCTCGCCACAACAAATTTTGCCCCATTGGTGGTGATACCATTCTATTCAGAATGCATGTGCTAAGAAGGTTTAAAAAAGAAGTAATATCAGATAATCATCATAAAATACACAATTCTGACAAAAAGGAGAATGATTTGGAACAAACAAATACTGGATTATGAGAAAGCCAATAGGCAATCTGAATGATCTAGGTTAGAAATGGTAAAAAACGACCAACTATGGTGGAAAGGAGAATGGACAAAAGTGGAAAGTTGATGGGAATATATCATAAAAACAATATATTTTAACTGTAGACACGAGTGATTTGGAATGAGATGGAACTATGCACTTACTCATGAAAAACAATAGGGCATTGATGTTCATAACCACTATCTGTGGGAGAGAACTGGCACCAAGGGACACAGAAATAGAGAAATACACAAGAATCACACACATTTACTATAAAACCAATGATGAGATCAAGAAATAACAAGAAAGGAACTCTGGTGGGAAATTTACAGGTGCTCATTTTAGATACTATTGTCTATGATTTACACAATTTCTTTTAACCAAATGTTTCACTGAAATGGAACATATACATTAATATTTATACTATCATGCAAACTGTATATATGTGTTCAAACTGGTAAAAATAGATTGCTTTTAAGAAGATATAAGCTATCAAGCTGAGCAATTTTTATGGCCTTCTACCTAGAAAATCTTGAAGTATTTCCTTTCCCCTCTGAAAACCAACAGAAAAGTAGAGTTCAGTTAGAGAAGATAAAAGGGACCTGAAAAGCAGAGTCAACAAATATTCTCTATTAAAGAGGGCAATGTTGGATATAAAAAATGTAGAGAGAGAGCATTTCTGGCAAGAAAAAATTATGAGAAAAAGAAAAGCATTTTCAAGAATGAAAAGATAAACTAAATGCTCTGATGCTATGGCTTATAAACATATTTTTAAATCACGATGGATAAATAATTATTAAAAATATTCAAATGAGGAGAAAACTATATTTAAGAGAAATTGAAACAATACAATGCATGACTGCATTATTGTCATACTGGTATATACTGATAATTTCATGTAACACACACATACAACTATTAAAAAGGTGTACAAACAACATCAAGCAGGTATGGAATTCATATCTTCTTTGGAATAAAGTTTTAAGCAGCTTATATACAGTTTTACCAAGTGAAATCTGGACTTTACTAAATACACTCAATTGTGTTAAATGTTGTATCAGAGCTAAGATTCACCCCTGAATGTCTGACCTAGAAGGGCCATGACTGAATAAAAGTTTCCAAGTGATTCTGGTACAATTTCATTGTTAGAATTACAGCAGAATATGATGATTAGTCTCACTCAGGCTACATTTCTTATACAAGGTACTATGAATCTGGAGGCAGTAGCTTTTCCACCACCCACATCTGCTTTAAGTCAGTACCTGAGTAGTAGAGTAAGAGAGTGCTTCTCCAGCCAGCTGGCCCTTCCATGTGGCTATAGAGGTCCGGAATACCAGCTTAGAAGGCAGGGTGATATGAAGAAGGCTCCCATTTCCCAGTGTTGCTAATTGAGTAAATACTACTGTTCTCACCACATGTTTTTGAGCATTTGCAAATGAAGTACTCACCACAAGTTGACAAAGTTGATGAAACTTGGGGAGAATTCCCTTTCCTCAGAATTACTCAGCTGTGGAGGATCTCCTTTCACCACTTGCGTTAGTTGATCAAATACACTATTCCACTTTGGATAAGGAAAGCGGCCTGTGGCCAACTCGTACTAAAGAGAACACGGGGGGAAAACAAAACACACAAGGCATTATTTACTATTCTTCACTGGAATGATCATATTGAAAATCTAAACTCCAAGCCTAAACTCCTGCCAAAGTCTTAAAGCAAACCCAGATCAGGCTGAGGTGGAATCTTCAAAATCACTAAGGCTGGATAAAGGTGATATTTTGAAATCAAAATAATATAGAAAATTCTGTATAAACCAAATTCAAGGACTTGGACTAAAGAGAAATACCAAGCATAAGCCTCAATGAGGTCCTTACAATGCACGCTCCAAGGTAGCCTCTGGTTCTGATTCTTTTTTATGAGAGAATCTAGAAGGCTTGTTTTAGAACTTTTGCAATACAAAGTCTGAACAGCTGCAGTTGTCTGAATGAAAGGCACTGGTTCAGAATAGTGGTCAAACTCCTTTGTAAGGCAAAAGAATATTCAACAAACAAGACCAAACTCCAAAGACTACATGCAGATCCTGTTCTATAGTTATTCTGTAGTTACCATAATTTCAACCACATCCAGATATTACTATTACTGAAGAAATTAAGTTAAGATGACACCCATCACCATCTAAGTTGCTCAGGACAATATCTCTAAAGCATGGCAAGACAAATCTGGAGAGTCTGATATATGTATGCCCAGTCTGTCAAGCAGTCAAAAATACTTGTGAACTGCACTCTCATCTTTCTTCCACTGTGTTCTGATAATAATGAAAACCTGGAAATTATGCTTTTTTTCTAAGAAATGTATCTAAATGTGTAGCATGGCATAAATGCATCCTACTTTATGTTCATTGAAAAGTGACTGAAAATTAGGATGAGATTCTAAACCTATTTGAGAGAAGCTGCCATATGAGAAAGAACAAATTGAGTCTATTTCAGGATTTCTTCAACTTAGATTTGACTTTGTCAATTTAGTAAAATATTAAGTTACTAGTTTACACAACAAAAGAAAAGCTATCAAGCAGATATAAAAGCTCAAGTAGAAAGCTGGTATGGAGAGAAGTCCTTCCTCCTGAAAAAATATATCCTTCAACATTCTACCATCTCCAATTACACACATATGCCTGAAAGCAGGCAAGCGTGCATGCACATATACACAGAAATTTATTTCCTTAGCTAAATTTCTTTTTTGATAAACATATAAAATCTTTGAAAGATCATTGTGTGAAGCTGTATTCCTCAAATTATGTAGGTTTGTAAACCAGGGCAAATCAATAAATTCTTTGGAAGATTTTGTTATTGTAAGGTATTGATTATTCACAGCATTAGGGATAATGTCATTAGAGTCATTTTTGAGAAGAGGTTGTAAGAGAAACAGAAAGCAGGATACACATTGTAAGGTGAAGGACTTTATCATACAAATTAATTTCACACATTCTATGATTTTTTAAGATAATCCACATAAAAAATCAATTAGGAGGCAATTGTAAACACTAATAATCTTGCTTTTAAATAAAGTTTTTCCAAATGTACTAAAGGAACTTACTTAAAAATTTTCTATGTTGGACCTCCCTGGTGGCACAGGGGTTAAAGTCTAAGCATTATGAAGCTATATGCAGCCACTGCAGCAGGAGTTCCATCCCAGGCCTGGAAGCTAACAGCAGACCCCTACCGTCTCGCCCATAGCTCCTCTCAGCAGTTTATTTCAGTAGATCTGCCTGTTCTGTTCCCAACTCTATCTCTGGAGAATCCTCTCACTCCCCCTGCACCTCTGGCCTACAACCCAGTTATTGTATGCATAAATAAATGAAATAAATCTTAAAATTTTTTTTTTTCTATGATAAAGCCTTTCACAGAATGACTTTTCTTTCTTATAATGAATACTTGCTTTTAAAACAAAACTGGTTTGGAGATATATAGGCATTTCTGAACTGTGACTCTTCCTGATATGTAAACAGCTGGAAGTTTTGCTTCAGTCTTTGAGATTAGTTACCAGACCTCAAAATGATAAAATTCCAGGGCCTCCCCTGGTGGCGCAGTGGTTGAGCCCTGGGCTGCGAAGATGCCCGCAGCCTCTGCAGTGCCGGTTCGATCCCCGGCCATCTGCGAGGGTCCCATATGGCGTACAGACCTCTCCTGCCGCCCGCTGCTCCCCTCAAAGCAGTGTATTTCGTCAGTCTGCCTGTTCTGTTTCCCGCTCTGGCTCTGGTGAGTTCTCTCACCCTCCTGCACTTCTGACTGTACCCAGTGCTTGTATGTATAAATAAATAAATAAATAAATAAATAAATAAATAAATAAATAAATCTTAAATTAAAAAAAAAAAAAAAAAAGATAAAATTCCAGGTTCTTCCCTATCTAAGAAGAAATGATTTCTTCTTAAGTCAGCTAGCTTCATAACAAGATTCCAGTATCACCCATATTTAGTTACAAAGGAAACTAGATGGATTCCTCAGCAGAGGTGAGCTACTGGCCATCGGCTCTCTATACAGAGAATAGGCCTGGCAATGCGATTCACCAAGGATAACTAACCAGGGTATGTGATTCTGAGCTACAGGAAAATGATCTAAGGTAGCTTATTAAAGAACAGAGATTATTTAATAAGCTACCAAAAAGTTGATTGCTCTGAACATGTGTTATCTATCTCTGAGCTGTGGTGTCTTATGAAGATGGGAAGAATGTGCAAGGAAAAAGTGTTAAGGTTGCCTACTAAAGAGGACCTAGTCCTATCTAACAATGGGAAATTCATATCTATATAGAAGACAGCATGAAGCTGTCCCAGCAGAAAAAAATGTCATCAAGTCTTGGTAAAACATCAATCACAAGGAAATAAATCTGAAACTTCAAAACAAAATTTAGTAATAAGGAAATATACTGCTTTAATACAGTTCACTAGTGATAAAGAAGAGTTCATTTAGAGCCTCCCTGGTGGTGCAAGGGGTTAAGACGCAACCTATGAAGCTATCTGTAGCCACTGCAGCACGAGTTCAATCCCCGGCCAGGGAGCTACCCACATGGCGCAGCAGACCTCTCTTGACTCACCCACTGCTCCCCTTAGCAGTGTATTGCACTCAGTCTGCCTATTCTGCTCCCCACTCTGTCTTTGGTAAAGTAAGTAATTAGTGTTCTTATTAGTTATAAGGTAGAATTTTCATTTAGAATTGTCACCTAGATAGTTCTTCTCCTTATCAACTGAATTACTGTCAACTCATTTGTGACGTTGCTATCCAGTAAACAGAAGAATCCAAGTAGAAACCATTTACATACTTATATGTATGCCTAATACAGATACTGTATGCCACATGACTGGACATAATACTCTGGGTTGTATAGGGAAGAGTCTATGTGCCTTCACTGCTGCATTTACCACAGGTGAGCTGCTCCCCCCATTGCTATTCTTAGCTGCTGAATCTTCTGTTGTGGAAAGTTTCAGAGCTACAACATTAAAAAGCCTTGGGAACCTCATGAAACCTTGAGGAAAAGAGTAACAACTTTAGCTTGAGTTTTTAAGATAAAATAACACTTTTCCCAAAGATTGGGAAATATAGTCACTGGATAATCACCACAGGATAAAAAGAGGTAAATAAAATCAAAGATTTGAAAAGAAACTTCATTTCTAAATATCTTGGTACACTATTATGACAAGGTTGAGTCCACATAAACATACCAATGTGATCCCCAAACTCCAGACATCAGAACGGACATCATATCCTTGTCGTGATGCACTTGGGTCTATTCTTTCAGGCTGTAACACAAAGAGAAGTCATAGTCATTAATTATGCATAGCCTCAAGAAGCAGGCATATGGAAGCAACAGATGGCAAGCCATCAAAATGCCAAATTCCTCTAAGAGGAAACCATGTCTAGGGTCAGATTAGGAGTGACAAATAGCAAGCCATCATTATATTAAACAAAAACTCCAGTTCAATGGGTACCAACTCTTCTAATATTTCCCCTTAAGGACTCCCAAACATTTAAAAAGCTAAAGGTGAGAAAAAAAGAGTGAAAGGGAGAAAACTGGAGAAAGAAAGAAACAAGTAAATAAAGGGTCATATTGATAGAATTAGTGGTAAACAGAAAAACGAAAGCCTTTCAGAAAATAAAACATACCATAATATATTTGACATTAAAAGTAAACATAAGCTAAAGTTATGATAATTATTCTACCCATTTTTCATTATAAAGCTAAACATAACACAATGTATAACAAATACTTTTAAAGATATTTCTTTATTAGTCATCTTTCACCAAATGAAGGTACTGTCAATATAGTAATATTATCCGATCATATAAACAGCAAAAATGATTTTCAGGAATTTCTGCACAGGGTCCCTATTTATATTCCCTTGAAACAAGGGACCATTATTTATAGCATATCAGGGATGGACAAGAAAACAGAGAAAGGGTTATTAGTTGCATGGAGCTGACAATGAACCCTTAACTAAAACAAAGTAACTGCTATTGAAAGAAATGTCCAGTATAACAGCTGACTGTATTATATATCCTCTGCCTGTCAGCAACAACTAATTTGAAGACCTAAGTATTTTGAGTTAGCTTTTCATATTTTGAACATGAATAGCATGCTGCATAAATATCCATTAGAAGCTATTTACTCAGCTTTTATTTGTAAATATATTTGTTTCCCTAATAAGGCACATATTAAAAAAAATCTAAGATAGTCAACCATAGAGAACATATTTCATCCAATAACAGCAGAATATACATGTTCCTTAGGTTCACATGAAATATGTTCTGGGCCATAAAACACAGGTTATTTTCTTAAAAACTGAAATCATATGAAGCACAGATGACAAAGTAACTAAATGAGAAATCAGTAACAGATAATCCAATAAAAATCCCCAAATATTTGGAGATTAAACAACACACTTCTAAATAACACATAGCTAACAGAAGACTCAACAAAAAGTAAAAAATAATTTTGAATTAAATGAAAACAAAATAACCAAAAATCAACACAATTAACAAACCCTTAGTTACACTGACTGAAAGAACAAAATATAAGATTCAAATTACTAAAACCAGAACGAAAGAGGGGATATTCTTATTACTGATCTTTATAGAAATTAATGACATGGACATATTCTTTGAAAATGAAAACTCACAGAAAGTAATACAGAGATATAAATAGCCTTACGTCATTTTTTTTAAACAGATTTATTTATTCATTTATTTATTCATTCATTCATTCATTCATTCATTCATTCATTCATTCATTCATTTATTTATACAAGCACTGGGTACAGTCAGAAGCGCGGGAGGGTGAGAGAATTCACCAGAGCCAGAGTAGGGAACAGAACAGGGAGATTGACAAAGAAATACACTGCTGAGGGGAGCAGGAGGCACAGCAGGAGAGGTCTGTTGCACAATGTGGGACTCTCTCGCCGGTGGCCGGGGATCGAACCGGCGCTGCAGAGGCTGCAGGCAGCTTCGCAGCCCAGCGCTCAACGGCTGCGCCACCAGGGGAGGCCTGCCTTAAGCCATTTTTAAAAATGATTTTTGTTATTATAAACCTTCCCGTGAACATAAATCCATGGGGGCCTCCCTGGTGGCGCAAGGGGTTAAGAGTCAACCTATGAAGCTATCCACAGCCACTGCAGCATGAGTTCAATCCCCGGCCAGGGAGCTACCCACATGGTGCAGCAGACCTCTCCTGACTTGCCTGCTGCTCCCCTCAATGTGTATTTCAGTCAATCTGCCTGTTCTGTTCCCCACTCTGTCTCTGGTGAGTCCTCTCACCACCCACACCTCTGGCCTATATCCCAGTTCTTGTATACATAAATAAATAAATTTAAAAAAAAAAAAGAAAAGAAATTCATGTTAGAGTTCACTGATGAACTCTCAAACATACTGGGTTTATAAAACCAATCTTAAGCACATAATTTTCCCCAAAAAAACTGAGAAGGATGCAACTCTTTCACGAGGTCAATATAATCATTTATGAAAACCTGGAAAAGACATTAAAGAATTAATGTCACTCATTAACAGAAACCAAAAAATTGTCAACAATATAAGAGCTAATCCAATCCAGCAAAACATGAAGAGAAAATACAACCAAGTGGAGTTTATCTCAGGAACACAATACTGACTTAGTACCTTTAAATCAATGTATTGTACTTTATTTACAGAACAGAGAAAAAATCCTGATAATCTCATGTAGCATTTGACAAAATTCAAATAATAACAGCAACTCCTAGCACAAGAAAAAGAAAAGGAAAACTTGTTCATTCAAGTTCACTCAAAGGGCATCTAAGTACCTTAGAATTACTATCATACTTCCTAGTGTAATATAGAATACTTCCTTTCTAATTAATATTGGGAAAAGGGAACTACTTATATCTAGCATTATACTGGAAGTCCTAACTAGGACAAAAAATCAAAGGGATGCTCAGCGAAATAAGCCAGAAAAAAAAAAACAAAAACAAAAACAAAAACAGATGGTATCACTCATAGCAGGAATTTAGAAGACCTAAATAAGGGACCAGGAAAAAGACTAGTTATAATAAAGTAAAAATCAAAATCAAGGGCTTCCCTGGTGGCAGCGGGTTGAGTGGTGTGCTGTGAAGCTGTCTGCAGCCTCCGCAGTGCCGGTTCAATTCCCAGCCAGCCAGGAAGAATCCCACATGGTGAAGCAGACCTCTCCTGTCTCTCCCGCTGCTCCCCTCAGCAGTGTATTTCAGTCAGTCTGACTGTTCTGCACCCCACTCTGTCTCTGGTGGATCCTCTCACCTCCTGCATCTCTGGCATGTAGCCCAGCTCTTGTACAAATAAAAATAAATCTTTAAGAAAAAAAAATCAAAATCAACAAGCAACTAAAAACCAGAGACACACTACTGGGGGTGGAGGGGAGGAGGGATTAGAGTCAAATTAGGTGGGGGGGGGATGGGGGGATTGTATGGGGACTATAACCAAGATGAAAATGCATACATTGTGCAAAAATGAAAAAAGATGTAAAAAATATATTAAATAAAAATAATTAAAAATAATCAAGGGGGAAAAAAACCTCCCTACTAAAACTAGTGATGAAACTAGCCAGGTCATAGGAAACATTGTCAAAGTATGCAATCAGTTGCATTTCTCAATAACACTGCAAAATATCTTTATTTCCATTTATTAATACAATACTAGCATCAAAAATGTAAATTATGGGCTTCCCCAGTGGTGCAGTGGTTGAGAGCTGGGTTGCGAAGCTGCCTGAAGCCTCCACGGTGCCGGTTTGATCCCCAGCTGCTCCCCAGCCACCGGAGGAGGGTCCCACATGGCGTGCAGACCTCTCCTGCCTCCCGCTGCTCCCCTCAGCAGTGTACTTCAGTCCTTCTGCCTGCTCTGCTCCCTGCTCTGGCTCTGGTGAATTCTCTCACCCTCCCGCGCTTCTGACTGTACCTAGTGCTTGTATAAATAAATAAATAAATCTTAAAAAAATGTAAATTATTTAGGAATAAATTAATAGTTCATACTGAACAAATATACTGAACTAATATAGTGAACTAATAGTTCCATATTGAAAATTACTACTTCTGTACTGAAAACACTACTGAAAGCAGGAAGACCTAAATAGAGAAAAATAGCAGGTACTGAAAAAACTTGGTAATTAGATAGCTACAGGTGGATGCAGTAATATTGTGTTCTAGCAATACAATGCAAAACTCAGCAATAAAACAGAAATACTATTACACATAATATCAAGGATATATCTTCAAAACATTACGTGGCACAGGGGTTAAAGACAGTGCCATCAAGATATCCACAGCCACTGCAGCATGAGTTTGATTCCCCAACCAGTCAGGGAGCAACCCACATGGCACAGCAGACCTCTCCTGCCTTGCCCACTGCTCCCCTCAGCAGTGTATTTCAGTCAATTTGCCTGTTTTGCTCCCACTCTCTCTGGTGTATCTTCTCACCTCCCCTCCCCTACACCTCTGGCTTACACCCCAGTTTTCGTATGCATAAATAATTCTTTTAAAAAAAACATTATGGTAAGAGAAACAAGTACATACTATCAGATTATGAATCTGATAAATCTAATTAACAGAGACAGGAAATAGGACTGATGATCTTTTTCAGGTGATAGCTGCATCTTGTGTCTTGGCTGATATGGTAGTTCATTTGTCAAAATCCTAGCTGTATACTTAATATGGGTGGGTGCCTGTCATTTGTAATTGTGGTGGTAACCTCACTTTCAAACTATGGTATGGTTATGTTGTGAGGCTCTGAAATTTCTAGCATGTATGATGTTAGGAAAAATACCCATTTTTATAAATAAATTAAAAAAAATGATTCCAGGGCCTCCCCGGTAGCACAAGAGGTTAAAGTCTCAGCACTATAAAGCTATCCACAGCCACTGCAGCACCAGTTTGATCCCAGGCCAGGAAGTTGACTCATGTGGAACAGCAGACCTCTTGTGTCTTGCCTGCTGCTCCCCTCAGCAGTGTATTTCAGTAGATCTGCCTGTTCTGTTCCCTACTCTGTCTCTGGTGAATCATCCCCCTACCCCACCACCCACACCTCTGGCATACACCCCAGTTCTTGTATGCATAAATAAATAAATCTTTAAAAATGAAAAAGATTCCATTTGTTGCTGATGTCATACTGGAGCACTGTCCAACAAGCCTACCCAAGGATTTTTAAGTGTACTTATGTTTTGCTTGATATTTATTAAGGGGCCAAATACTTAAGTTACATGATAACTTACCAGATTTCTTCTGGTAGGGGATGAAAATGATTTCTGTTCAACAACCCCAAAGTTATTGTTTTATTGACCTGCAGATACTTAGCAGCTATATATTGGAGTTGGTCATCTCATTCTAACATTTTTTTCAGTGACCATAAGTACTGAATTATGTAAATGTTCTCTGAGCCAGTTTCACCATCCTGCCTGTCCAACTTCCTCATTAATGAGCTAAATACATTTTTGACGTGTGTTCATATTTTATTTGTAAATGTAATGTTTTTAACATTTTGAAAATTATTCTTTGAGAAAAGTAAAGGCAGGATACATACGGTTCATTGGAGATTTATACTATAAATA